GGGCCAACATGCAGATGGAAGCTGAGAAACTAGGAAAAGTGAACATAAAGAATGAGAAACTACAGGGGGATAGGTAGGTGTTATTTGGAATAGTCAAACAGCAATGAATTAACTATAGCTATACAAAGCAGAATGGAAGAACCCCCAAAACAACATCAAATGAGAAAAGCACATCACACAAGCCTATATGCAGTATGGTTCCATGTATTTATGTAAAATATACAATATTTAATATTGATTATTTAGAAACAAAATCATATATTGTGAGACATAAAGGAGTGAGAGAAATTTTACTTACAGTAATGGTATTTTAAGTAATGGCATATTAGTTATACCACTGATAAGGTACATAGAAAAACTGGAAAATAATATGTAAAATTTCAGCTGGAGAACATTGGCCCACTAGCAATTTAAATAAGTATTACTGTAAGAAGATGGAAACCCAGACAAAGGAGCTCAAAACTTGGGGCTTATGTCCATAAGGGATCCAACAAGAAAGACATGGCACGTTCAAGTGGCATAACTGAGGAACAATCAATGAAGGTGCAATTCATAAGTGTGTGGACAGGATTAGGGGAAACGAGGGAGAGATGAGGAAATACCTCAGAACTAACAACAGGCTGTTTGGTTGCCATTCCCAGCTTTATCCCTAAAGGGTCAAGGAAAGGAAGATGTTACAGAGCTGAGAGAAAACCATAGGAAAGGGCTGCCTAGCAGGAGTTTGGGGCTTTAGTCAAATGCAGCTACTACTAATTTAGAAGCCACATGAGAGGGACTGATAGAATAAACACTCTGCTCTCACATTCCCTCCATCCTTCTGTTGGCTGCTGGTGTCTCGATTGGCCAAACCCAACCAGAATCCAGAGGGAAAGGAAGCTCACTGATGCTGCTGCTTTCAGTACAAAACGTAAGGTAGAAAGTGTGGGAAATGGGTCTGGAAGGGCAAATACAGATTAGCCAGCGCAATAGATCTGGAAGAGCTCGAACAGGTTTTTAGGTGGCCTCAAGGGCTAGAGGGACAAACATTTCTGTAAGAATATGATAACTTCCATGTTGTCTTGGTTTGGACTCCCAGTGGTTACATTTAGAAACAAAAGTGAAACAGAAGTAAGCTATTTCTTGCCTGGCCTGCATACCTAGAAAACCTAAATCACTGAAATTGGATTAAGTTCCAGGCTGACAGTTTTCTAGGCACTAAGAGAAGAAAAGGCAAATTCCCTCTCATGTAAGATCACATTTTACTAGGTTTCAACTTATTTCTATAAATTGGCCTTTAAATATGATGTTAAGCACACAGTCCATGGTAATCATACACATGAGGAAATGAAACAATATAAATCAGAACCAACAGAAATATTAGCCAATAGACACAGATCCACACATACACCAGCTATTGGAAACTATCAGGCCCAAGTTTTAAACATAGACATGCTTAAAATGATCATTAAAATAAAGAGAAGATTAAAAAAAAATTCAGAAAACAGGTAATTCTAAAAAATGGACAGAACTTTGAAAAATAATTATGTAGAAATTCTAAAACTTAGAAATACAATAATTACAATTAAGAATGAGACAAACAGTGCATTAAACACAATTGAACCTCATTATTAGGGATAGCGCTTCTTCCAAGTTGGTCCCTTTCTTTTCTCTTCTCCTTAAAATCATGCCTTTGGCCTCCAGGGGAAGCTACTAATGACTAAGTGACTGAAGTAGATGTTTAGTCCCAGCCAGGTTTGGTGGCTCCGGCCTGTAATCCCAGCACTTTGGGGGGCCAAGGCAGGAGGATCACCTGAGTTGAGAAATTCGAGACCATCCTGGTCAACATGGTAAAATCCTATCTCCACTAATAACACAAAAATTAGCTGAATGTGGTGGCAGGCATCTGTAACCCCAGCTACTCAGAAGGCTGAGGCAAGAGAATCATTTGAACATGGGAGGTGGAGTTTGCAGTGAGTCGAGATTGTGCCATTACACTCCAGCCTGGGCAACAAGAGCCAGACTCCATCCCAAAAAAAAAAAAAAGTCAAGCCTAACTTACAAATGCATCTGTCTATATAATATTTAGGAACTCCCACAAAGTGGACAGCTACATTGCTATATTTTCCCTCAGGGGTGAACCCTGAAAGCCAGTGCCAAAGGGAAATCCTCTCCTTGGGCAGAACGTCAAGCAGTGCTTTATTACTCCACTTTGTCTGAAGTGAGAGATGGCCAGAAATACAGATCCACAACTCATTCATGGAAAGTCGATGATAGTTTTTCTGCACAGAGACTTGGAAGAAACGAGTCTGAAAAATTGGTGCCAAAGAATTCTGAGAAATAGCTATAGGAATGGGAATGTTAAAATGGACAAAAACTGTGAGTATATTTGTGCACTTTGTGAATGTCCACAAATGAATTTCCACTCCAGAGTAGGCACTGGATGAAATTATGTGTTTAGTGGGTGTGAGTAAGCCCCTTTCCCAGACATAGTGCTTTCTCAATAGGCCCATGAACAAAGTGGCCATGGTGACAGGGATGAAGGTTATGCCTGTGATAGCCAAAGCTGACCTGGCTAATGCTACTGATGTGTGTCTGATCTGCCAGAAGTGGAGACCAACACTGAATCCCCAATATGGTAGCATTCCCAGGAAGGGGGAGGACTAGCCAGCAACCTAGTAGCAGATTGATCATACTGGACTGCTTCTATCATGGAGGGGGCACAGATTCATTCTCACTGAAATAGACACACATTCTGGATGTAGATTTGCTTTTCCTGACAGTAGGGCTTCCATCAGAACTACCACCGAGGGAGTTACAGAATGAATTAGATGAGACTACCACCTAGGCATTGGGGCTGTTTATGCTACTGACCCAACATGCAGGAAAGGTAAGTCTACTCCTAGAGTTATTGATTCTAATTTCCAAGCAGAAATTGGGTTGTTATTTCTACACAACAAAGAAAATGTGGACTACACCTAGAACCCAGGGATTGCCAGGGTACCTTTTAGTAGCTCTATGCCCAGTAGTAAAAGTTAATGGAAAACTACAGCATGCTTAAAAAAAAGCAGGGGGCAGGACAATTAATGATTAAGATCCTTCAAAAACAAAGGTTTGGGTCACTCTACCAGAGACCAAGAACACTGGCCAACTAAAGTTCTGGCTGAGAGGAAGGGAAATAGGGAGTGGGTAGTGAAAGAAAGAAGCCAAAGATATTAACTACAGCCTCAGGAGCAATTACAGAAATGAGGACTCCCGTAGCCCTCTCTTATGCATAGGGGATATGTGCCAAGACCCCCACACACAGAGATAGCAGAAAATCCAATTACCATCAGTCAGAACATGTCTCTATTCATGCCTTCCACTCACAAATTTAATTCCCCTTCCTTATTGACTAAGCATTTGTCACTCACTATGGCCATAATTTTTGCAGTTTGAGGTGTGTATTAATTTGTTTGCACACTACTGATAAAGACATACCCGAGACTGGGAAATCTGCAAAAGAAAGAAGTTTAATGGATTTACAGATCCACGTAGCTAGGGAGGCCTCAGAATCACGGCAGAAGGCAAGGAGGAGCAAGTCACATACTACGTGGATGGCAGCAGGCAAAGAGAAAGAGTTTGTACAGGGACACTACTCTTTATAGAACCATCAGATCTCATGAGACTTATTCACTATCATGAGAACAGCATGAGAAAGATGTGCCCCCATGATTGAATTACCTCCCACCAGGTCCCTCCCACAACACATGGAAATTCAAGATGAGATTTGGGTGGGAAACAACCAAATTATATCAGGGCAGAACAGCAATACGAGGATGAATTTCCTTCTTCACAATTTCACAGAGAGTAGATTTGTTCTTACTGTAGATCTTAGCAACCTCAGCATACAATTTTTTTTCTTCCCCTATTAAGTCGGCAACTTTCATCTTTTCACTTAAAGTAAGCACTTTAAGGCTTCTCTTTGGCATATCCAAATTGCAAGCATCAATACTCATACACTTTGGAGCCACTAATGGGTAAAGTAAGGATTACTTGAACAGAAGCACTGGGATACCATGACAGTGAATCTGATAACAAAGACAATTACTGAGACTAACAGGTTAATAGTATAGACAGTATAGATACACTGAACAAAGGGATGATTCACGTGTAGGGGAAGACGGAGCAGAAAGGTATGAAATGTCATCATGCTAGCAAGAAAGGTGTGTAATTTGAAACTTACAAATTGTGTATTTCTGGAATTTTTCAGTTAATATTTTGAACCACAATTGATTATAGGTAACTGTAACCACAGAAAACAAAACAGCAGATAAGGGAATACTGCCATATAGAAGTTTTGCATATTTTCCCTTTGCTTGTGATATGAATGAGTTTATTTGTATTTGCAAATCTTTTCTTATTACGAGTCCCACTCCATGGTACCCTGCCCACTAACCAACTGTGGGCCAACTTTGACCCAAGGCAACCCAAAGACATTCATGAGCAGCCAGTAGTCTGGAGCAATATGCTTTTCAAGACTAAATTCTAGTCTTGGGTGGGGCAAAGTGCAGAGGGATGCGGTCTACCAAATGTCTTCTTTCTTGGATTCTCTGCCACAGCTGTAGGGTAAGCTTTAGGATTCTCTTTTATTCTTTCACAGTAGCTAATCCTCTATAAATAGTTTATGCTCGATATGTAATCTTCACTATTCAATTTATGGAGCAGTTTTTATCTCTGGATTAGACCCTGACTTATTCAAAAGCAAATAAAATAAACAATCTAATTAAGAGACAAAAATTATCAGGCTTAATTTTTTAAAAATAATGTGCTATTTTAAACATAAATATCTAAACTTAAGAATACAGAAAGGTTAAAATGTATCATGTAAAAGAAAGCTGAAGTAGTCATGTCAGTATCATATAAAATGGACTTTAACACAAGAGCATTTCTAGAGATAAAGAGGGATGTTACAGTAATCAAACTTTCAATTTGCTTGAAAGATATTTCACTTTTTATTCACTTAAAATAACATGGTTCCGAAAATGTACACAACTAAACAAACTCATAGCAAAAGGAAGTTTTAATAAACATCTCTCAGTAATTAGTAAGAAAGCAAAGAATTCAATAGGAACATGGAAAACTTGAAAAAATGAACGAACCTGATCAAATAGACACTGCATACAACATCTGCACAATATATAGGCCTTTTAGCAGCAAAATGGAATACATATAGATTTTTAATTTACCAAGTTCTGGAGCAAAAATCAAAACTCAATAGTTTAAAGGTTTTAAAATACACAGCTTGTTGCCTGCCAAATTTATCTATCATCTTCAGACCTCATGCTGAGATCCAGACCTAGGTATCCAACCAATAATGTGCTGGAATGGGCTTGTAAGAGCAGATTGTGCCCATCTCTTCCCAACTCTGCATTGTTGACATCACATTGGTATTAAACTTGGACATGGTGGGAATATCTACACCATGGAAATCAGCAAATGCTTCAGAAAAAAGGAGCTTTCTTCTTTATTGTTTGAGAATAAGTGGTTTAATATTTGCCAGCACACCCTCATATCCAACTCATTCTGAACCATCTCCTTGTGGATGCTGCAATGGCATCTCAATCTCGGTATGGCTACGCACATTATTTCCCTTCTCCAAGTGTGTATGCCCTTTATCTCATTTCTAGTTAATGGTATCACCAACCATCTACTTACACAAATTAAAAGACCAGATTTTTAACACTCTTCTTTATTCCCACATTAAATCAATTGTCAATTCCCTACATTTTATGTTCAAAATGTATCTTAAATTTGTTCCTTCTTTTCCTTTCCTCCTACTATTGCTATAGACAAAATAATCTATGGTCCGTAATGTACTTCCAAGATTAAAATTTAAAATCTATAAAACTAATTATGACTAGGCTTAATCAATCAGAGCAGAAGCCCACTGTAGGGCGGGTCAGAGCCCCAAGACATCTGAATGCTAAATCAAGAAGTGGTCTTGGGTTCTTAGGGGTGCACCAGGTAGCCAGAGCTGTGGAGGTGAGTGATAGGAGCTCAGGCATCAGCTATATAACAACTGGTAGGGCAACATTTCAATACTGGAACAAGTGGGAAGCCATCCCAGTGTGCACCAGATGAATATTTGTCCTGAGAGTAGTATGCTTACCATGGAGACATACAGGATAGATTAAAGAGGGACAATGATAAACTCTTTAAAAATAAATATGTATTTTACTGTGTTAAAAATTATAACACACTGAGTCCAAATTTAAAAATATGCTTACTGTAAAGTAGGTAGGTATGAAGACAGACAGATGATAGATAGATAGATAGATAGATAGATAGATAGATAGATAGATGATAGATTAGATAGATAGATAGATAGATAGATAGATAGATAGATAGATAGATAGATAGATTATAGGTAGGTAAATAGATTATAGGTAGGTAGGTAGATGGATGGATAGAGATAGAACCCTTGACAAAATTAAGTGAATGGCAGGAATTTGAAAGCCATGGTTCCCTGCCTCCACTTTCTCTTCAAATGTTTCTTCCCATGCTGCCAGAGTATTTTTTCTAAACACAGATTTGGTCTTGTCAATTCCAGAATTTAAATGGTTAGACACTTCTTCATTGTGTGTGGAATAAATCCAAACTCCTTAACAAAGTGCACAGCAATCTTGCAAATATGCCATCATAAAATTGCTTTTACAATCTCACCAGAAACTCTATACTTTTAGCCACATGTTTCCATGTCTTTGTTTAGATTTCCTCCAGCTGGCGAATGTGCACATGACACTAAAGTCTCAGTGCAAATGCCACTTTTTCTCTGAAGCTTTCCTCAACATTTCATATTAGAATTAACATTCAAAAAGAATTAACTTTTTTAATACGATGATTTAGAAGGGACAGTATGCTAACTTGAAGATGCTTTTTCTTTCAGCTGCCCTTGTAGAGGGGATTCTACTGCTCATTGACACTCTTCTCCAAAAGAATCAGCACGAAGAATTAGAATTCTGTATTAAAATGGGACAATCAAGCTCTTATAACAAAGAGAATACAAAATACACAGGCTCAGCAAGATAGAAATTTCTTTCCTTCTCATGCAAAACCCAGTAATGGGTAGTTGAGGTGTAGAAGGGAAGCTCCACCAATGTCCACCACGGTGTCTGCATCTTGGCTTCTAAGGTGTACAGTCTCTCTGGTCATCATGTCTGCCTCCAGCAAACAGCAGAGTCAAAGAGAAGTGCAAGCATGCATCTTCATTTACAGGGCTTTGTTTGTCAATTGCATATATCATATCTGTTTACATCTCATTGCCCAGCATTTGGATGGCCATATCTAATCACAAACGAGGCTCAGAAGTTCCGTCTCTCCAGGTCAGCAATGTGCCCAGTCAAAACCTGAGAGGTGCTATTACTAAAGGAAAATGGAGAGAAATGAACACTGAACATAAATTACCAGTTGGTGCTTCTAACGTGAAATGCAAATCTCTCCTTTTAACTTACATGTTATGTGCAAAGAGAAAAGACTCCATGGGGAAACTATTGGAATGTTCATCACGGTGATGTTTCTGGTTAGTTCGGTATTTTTGCCATTTATGGCCTCCTTTATTACCATTAGTGCTGCTGTAGTTTATTCCATAAATTCAAACATATCTGTGATCACAATACATCAGCTAACATATAAATATTATATTTTATGGGACCATTAAACTCTGGGCAAATAAGTCTCTCTCTCTAAAATATGGTTATCATATTCCTTTTTAAAATTTTTAACAGCTGTCAAATGGTGTACAACTTCCTACCATAAAATGTTTAGATGACTTACAACTTTTGCAATCTTGACCACAGTTCAAAAAACAATGCATTAAACCTGACCAGAAAAGTATTGCAATCAAAGTATGCATCCAATTAGTTAAGCATCAGGTAGAGTTTTTAAACAGTGCTCTCTTGGGCATAATGTTAAAATTTATCAAGCTTTCCATCTGGCCTCAAATTAGTAAACATTTGCCTTCTGCACTGAACAGGACTGCAGTGGTGCTAGGGTTAAAAGAACTGTAATGAGATACAATTATGTAAATAAATGAGACAAACACTGTAGGTGTTTAACTTGAAGCAATAATAAATTTGATTCTTTTGTGTGAGAGAAAAATGCTTTCATTTATCCTACTGGAGGTTCTCCTAAACTACTGAGCACGAATTCCTTCTAGAGACCAAACATGTCCCCCAGTAAGTATTTGGGCATGATTGAGAGCTGACTTGATGAGCCTGCTTCCATTAAAAGCATGCTCCAGTGCAAAATTAAATTTTAAACTAATAGCCTTTCATGACTCTCCAGATAATAAGAAACTGAGAAATTGCATTTCAAAGAGGGAAAACTGGTATCCCAGCGCCACACAATGCTTTCTACACCATATGTGAAAGCAGTGGCTCTACCCACTTTGAGCCCTCCCCTCCAACTCCCACTTCACGGGCTGGTGGTCAACAAATGCTATTATGATGGTGGTGGGATAGAAGTTATTAAGTGAAGAGTTTTCTCAAGTTTCTTCTGCATGTATTCCTCTAATCAGGATTCAACCTTGACCTTCTCATTCTTTTTGGGTTCTCCACCAACAAAGGGTACAGATTAAGAGTTAAGAGAGAAAGGACAAGACTGTGTAGGCTTGGGCTGGTAGAGAAATCTTCAAGGGAGTTTTGAAATAAGAGGCATAGGAAAAGCTGCAGGATATGAAGGCAGCACTTGCAACAGGAAATTGGAGATGCTTAGGATTGTGTGGGGATTCTAAGAATCATGATGCTTAGAAAATATAAGAATATGTAAAAATGACTTGGATTGCTTCGAAACTACTTTTGGTCACTGGAATTTTATCTGTCTGTGATATTTCTCTGGCATCGAATGAAGTGGGTACTGGCTTAAAGGCATTATACCTGTTTCCCCTTAGTAACCTATCTTTCAAGAGGAATGGAAGGGACCAAATTTGACATTATATTTCTTAAATAGGGTCAACTCCTGATCTCAGTATTCATCACTTTTTAAATCACATTCTGGGCAACTAAGAGAATGGAGTCTCAGTTGGTTTTCTTGCATCTGGGAGTGAAATTCATGGTCAACCAGATTGGCCAAACAAGAAGCAAAGAAATTAGTACCAAGAAAGGGCCAGAGAAGCCTCCATGTTAAAGCAGAGGCAGCCTCAGAGCAAGTTTATTTCACGTAATCTAAACTCTCTCACATCTATGCCCCTACCTTAACTGCTCCAGTTTTATTCCTTTGCTGTCTCATGTCTGATCTCTCTTTGGAGGAGTCAAAAGACTCTTGCACTCTTGCAACCTCATTAACATAGAGATGGCATGGCAAACCTGGGGGAGAAGGGGAGAAACAGAATTTATAATCAAGCAGAGCTGGGTTTAAATGGTGACTTGACCATTTACTTTCTTAGCAGAAGTTACTTAAACCTAAGAACTGCAGTCTTCTTTTCTGTAAAGTGGAGATAATAATAGGAACGGTCACATGGGGTTATTTTGAAGACTAAATGAGACGGCAGTGATAACGCACTTAGCATGGAGTATGGATCTTAATCCCAAAAGATGCAATCCTGAGCACCATAATCCCAAATGTTGAAATCCTAAAACATCAAAATCCCTAATGTCTAAAATCCCAAAAACCATGACCACAAGATCATGTTAGGAGAAACTATTACCTTGCTATTGTTGTTATCTGGAAATTAAGTGTGGTTTAGGGAGCTAGGAATGACTATATATTTTGTCTTTGCATCATTTCCAATACTGGAGGTATAAATTGTGCAAAGACTTTTAAAGAGTTCTACTTTGTTTTGCGCATTTTTTGCAAATTTCACTCCACAAAAGTGCATTACCACAAGGTTGCCTTTGTGTGTAAGCATTGTGCATGTGTGTAAAAGTGTTGAAACTTCCTCAATAAGTGAAGAGACATCTTTTTTGTACATCTGCATTTGCAAAAGACAAAATTTCTCAAGATTCCAGCTCTTTGGGCAACTACATATGTGTTGGTGACCTATCACAGTATCTAATGAATCTTGTCAAAAGATTTAGGCTGTGTGTTACTATTTCAGAGGACCACATTTCTAAAGATGGATGTACACGATCACCAGCCATAGTGAGATGTGTTTACACATCTCCCTTATTGACCTATTTCTTTATGAATATGGTTTATCTGCTCATAATTGTTATACTTATGTAACTCTTATTGGTATACCTGATTGTTTATGCTTATAAAAATACGTATGTTATTATTGACTGTTTTGTTGTGTAAAGTGGATTATGAAACGTTCTGTCATGTTTTCATATGTTCCTCAAACAAATGCTCTTTTAAAGTGAAAATAAATATCTTCTAAATAATTTGTAAATTTTTTTCAGAATTACATTTTCAGGATTTTGATCTTTTCAGATTTCAACATTTGGGATTATCTCTTTCGAGATTTTGATCTGCTCCCCTTAGAACGACACCCAACCCATACTAAGTTCTAAATAAATATTAGCCATTAGCACATTATCATCAGCACATTGTTGTAGTTTGGTATTTCCTAGCTCTAGTTATTTTTGTTATTGTTATCCTATATCATACTCCAACTCTTCTTTCTCTCTGCACCCTTGCCTTCTTTAAGGACATTTGCTTAACCTAATCTGCATGGCCTAATACAAGCTACTGTATTCAGATGTGGTCATAACCCATTACAGGCTCATCTGAAGTCTTCAGGGAATCATCCCTCCTGGTACCCATCCAGTCTGGCTAAAAGATTTTCCACCTGCATCTCTTTGACGTTTCTCTCTGCTGAACTCAGACTCTTTCCTGACACCACTGAGCCATGCTTCCAATAGACAAAGCAAGTCTGAAATTTAATCAAAACGTCTTCTACCTTTACTCTAACCTGGTATTCAAAATCCTCCCAGAAAAAAAATGAATTCAAATATTAGTATTTATAACAGTTTTCTAAAGACTTCTAAGAAGAAAGAAAATGGCATGTTCTCTTTAAGTCTGAAATATCTTAAAGAAATACAAAGGCTTCAAAGAAGAACTTTTAGAAGAGAATTTTAAAATAATTATTCTTATCCTGAAAAATCTAAACCATCTTACAATTATTCTCCCTGCTGTGAAAGAAGAAACCTACAAAGAACAGGAGTGGGCACTGATAAATTCTGAATCTCTTGCAATTGTTTATTACCGCAGAAATCTTGTGAGATTAATGGTATCATCCTCTCCCAACCCCACTGCACAGATGAGGAAACTGAGGTTTAGGAAGAGGAAGTGACAAGGTCACTCAACTAGAAAATACCAAGCCTGTAACAGAAGCCCCGACTGTGAAAATCATTACAATTCCAAACTCAGCGGCAGAGCTAACCCTCTGATAGAGTTGCTTTTTCCCCACAGTGCCCCTCACTTCCTTAATACTTTCACTGAATATCCATAATAGCCCAGAAGAGCACTATATATAGAAAAGCACATTTTGTTGGCTGATATTTCCACAGCTGGAGTCATTTCCCCTGTAGCATGCGACAGTTTCTGCATTGAGTGCACATGATAGCCTTGTGTTCTGAGTCACGGTTCAACTCAATTCTATTTACCAAACTCCCAGAGACTTAAAAATCACTTTACTGGAGTTACAATCATAATAAAACAAGTTACACAGAAGGACCTGCTGAGAGGGCAGCTGGGAAGTGTCCTGAGCAATTACAGATCAGCAGCAATCCTTTCTATTTGATCTTTAGAATCACAGCAGATTTTAAGTTGGGAGGAGAAAAATCAGAGCACCTGTGGAAAATAACCAGTGGGTGAATGAGAATGTCTCCAAGTTCCACTGTGTCATGCCCCTCTTGCATCCATTACACTTGCTTCCATGACGGTTACTACTAAAGCTCTGCTCTGAGCCATAACCATGCAGGAAACCTAAGGGGATTGTATTATTGACTAGACTAGGACAAGAATAATTTGGTTTTTTGCACAATTATTTCATTACACTATCCTAACATCTTTGCCTGATCATTTTTTTCACATTTAGTTTAGGTTCAGGGGTACATGTGCAAGTTTTTATATAGATAAATTGCATGTCACAGAGGTTTGGTATACACATTATTTCATCACCCAGGTAACAAGCATAATACCCAATAGGTAGTTTTTCAATTCTCATCCTCCTTCTACCCTACACCCTCAAGTGGGCCCCAGTGTCTATGTTCTTTGTGCCCATGTGTGCTCAATGTTTAGCTCCCACTTATAAGGGAGAACATGTGGTATTTGGTTTTGTGTTCCTGTATTAGTTTGCTTAGGATAATGGCCTCCAGCTCTATCAGGGTTGCCACAAAGGACATGAACTCATTCTTTTTATGGCTGAATTCCATGGTATATATGTACGATGTTTTCTTTATCCAGTCTACCATTGATGAGCATCTAGGTTGATTCCATGTCTTCGCTATTGTGAACAGTGTTGCAGTGAACATATATGTGCATGTGTCTAAATGATAGAACAACTTCTGTTTTGGGGAGTATGCATCCAGTAATGGGATTGCTGGGTTGAATGGTAGTTCTGTTTCAAGTTCTTTGAGAAATCACAAAACTGCTTTCCACAGTAGCTGAACTAAATCTGAATTCCCACCAGCAGTGTATATATATTCCCTTCTCTCTGCAGCCTCGCCAGCATGTGTTATTTTTTGACTTTTTAATTATACCCATTCTGACTGATGTGAGATGGCATATCATTGTAGTTTTGATTTGCATTTCTCTAATGATCAGTAATGTTGTATATTTTTATATGCTTGTTGACCATATGAGTTTCTCTTGAGAATTGTCTATTCCTTTTCTTTGCTGCATTTTTAATGGGGTCGTTTTTTGCTTGTTGATTTATAGATTAACAAGTTCCTTGTAGATTCTGAATATTAGGCCTTTGTTGGATGCATAGTTTGCAAATGTTTTCTCTCATTCTGTAGGTTGCATGTTGATAATTTCTTTTGCTGTGCAGAAGCTCTTTAGTTTAATTAGGTCCTATTTGTCAATTTTTGTTTTTGTCACAATTGTTCTTGACATCTTCAATATGAAAGGCCCTGGCCTTTGCCAGGCCTGTGTCCAGAATGGTATTTCCTAGGTTTTCTTATAGAATTTTTATAGCTTTAAGTTTCACACTTAAATCTTTAATCCATCTTGAGTTGCTTTTTGTATATGGTAAAAAGAAGAGGTCCAGCTTCCATCTTCTGCATATGGCTAACCAGTTATCCCAGTATCGTTTGTTGAGTAGCGAGTCCTTCCCTTACTACTTGTTTTTGTTGACTTTGTCAAAGATCAAATGATTTCAGGTGTTTAATTCTAGGGTCTTTATTCTGTCCCATTGGTCTATGTGTCTGTTTTTCTCCCAGTACTATGCTGTTTAGGTTACTGTAGTCTTGTCACATAATTTGAAGTTGAGTAATGTGATGTTTCTAGCTTTGCTCTTTTTTCTTAAGATTGCTTTAGCTACTCAGGCTCTTTTTTGGTTCCATATGAATTTTAGAATTTTTTAACCCTGTGAGAAACATCATTGGTGTTGCATAGTTTGATAGGAATAGCATTTTTTCAGTCACATCATTCCTTTAGTTTTCAATTGACGATGAAGATCTTTGACAACCTCAGGAGACATCAGTGTTGCTGACCAATGTTTTCAGGCTCCTCTCTCAGGTGTGCCGGGATACTGTTCTTCTCCATACTCTTGATGTTAGTCCTGAACAGGTGATTTGGTTTGGCCAATGATGTGTGTCACTTCTGGCCACAGCATTTAATTGCACTTGTTTTAATCTTTATCTCTGCTTCCTTCCCCTTCCTTGACAATCATGACAGCATGTGTTGACATGAAATTGCCATAAGAGCTCAACAACCTGTAAAGCTGAGCTAACACATGGATATTTTAGAGAATTACCTGACCCTTCATCAGGGCTGCCACATAAAATAAACTCTTTTATATAGTAAAACTTCTGAAATTTCCAGGTTTTTCATATACTGCAGTATGAACCAGCCTATCTTATTGGACATGGTGTGTTAGTTGTATTTGGCTGACAGGAATAGAAAACTCAACTGTAATGGCGGTATACACATAAGAGGCCTTTTTGGCTTGCATCATAAGAAGGCCCAATGAAAGCAACCCAGAACTGGATGGTTCAGTGGTATCTTCCATGATCATTCCATCTTCTTATCCTGTCATTTCTGGCTATGGTTTTAGTCCTTGTGGTGTCAAATGGCTTCTGCTTCTATAGACGTTGCATTTATGATCCAAACGGGAAGAAGAGGCAAGGCTTTGTCCCTTACTTTAGGAAGGGAAGATGTCAGTTATTTTATGCTGTTGTAAAAAGATACCATGGACTGG